CATATGGAAGAAAGGAATTAAATTTCATTCAATATGGTGCCTAGCACACAGGACACAATAAATGCTTGTCAGATGAATGAAGATAAAGGCTCCATCTTTTTCATCCTTACATCCCAGCACATAGTAAGAGTTTAATAAAAGATTGGTGGAAAAAACCAAAAAGGACGATGTCATAGGAATGAGAAATACTGAATTACAAATCCATATATCACAAGTATATAATAAGAATAATTCTTTTCTTTTGGGAGAAATTTCAAGATTTCCATTATATATCTAGTTGTAAATATATTCACAAAACAACACATCTGCCCATCAAATATTACAAATATATCTGTATTATTAAAATTATTAATCATTAATTTTGATCATGAATAAAATTAAAATTAAAACATATTATTGTTAAAACATTGCGAATATTACATAGGCATGGCACCTCTATTAATTAAATAAATCTTTCTCAAGAAAATCAAAGACTAGATTTATGCTGCTGGTATTTGTGCCATGGTATTAGAAAGTCAGTCAAACACTTAAAAATGTGAATTTTAATGATTGCCTCTATGTTTTCATTTCTTTGTTTACCAATATACACTATGGTTTGAAGGCCAAAGTGTAGTGAAAAAAATTTCTCCTCACTGATTTCTCATGTCTTAGGTCTAGATAAAGATCTTTATACTATTTGTATTTGTATTTCTATTTCATTTTTATGTGTGAAGAACTATGTTCTAGCTTAATAATAACTTGGTTTTAAAAATATTATTAATACTCAAGGCTTTTATGATTTTTGACAAGCAGACAAACAAAACACGTTTGAACACCACTTTGATAAGCCATATATGTACTGCGAGTCATTGGCTAACTTATCTGATAAGCCCAGGGCAACCCTGAGGTAACCTGTAGACTTGTTATTTTGTATTGTATAAATTATTTCCTATGATATATTCAGAAACTTCCCTCACTCTGGCCTACTCTTCCAAAATGCCTCGTTGGTTAAAAATTGACCTTTCTTCATCCACATCTGTGTTCCATTCAGGTTCCAAAATCTCCAATATTAGCCCCACTGTTCTTTCTAACTCTAAAGCAGGACAACGGTAAATGACACGCATTTTCAAAATTAGCTGTGTCACCGTATTGCATTAGCATGGATATGGATAGTTAACTATCCAAACAAAACAAAACAAAAAATAAACAAAACCCACAAATGTCCACACAAATACTAATCTTCCGTTGACGTCCAAGGAACAAAGTTAGGTAAATAACCTCTATGTGGCCAGCAAATTTGCTCACATTTGAAACAGAATTTTCTTATATCAGTCATTTAGTCAGTAGTGTAATAAAATCTGTCCCTGGTTTCTGACTTGCTTCTCCATAGTGCACCAACTCTAGCCACTATGGCACAAATGAAAGGTTGCATTCTCTCTCAGGTCTCTCCCCAGTTCCTCAGCATCAGACTCAACTGGAAACAATCAAGTTCTAACCTAATGGTCCACATTTATGAACTCTTACTTACAAAACCAACAAAACTATCATTGTCTTACAGAAAAATAAATCAAACATGCACACTCTGGTTTAAAAGTTCACATGGATAAATGCAATTTACATTAGTTCTGTATCTATTTGATTTTAATTCTCCAGAAAAGCATAAGCCTATGCATATCTTTAGTAGTAGGGAGAAAAACATTAAACAAGACCATCTTAGTTTGAATATTCTGATAAATGGGAAGCTTAATTCCCCGTTCATGTAGGCACCTAAACTTTGGATTATCAGTTTGCATCCTATATGTTATCATATATCCTGCCATGTTCTTTCCGGTTAAGAATACCAGATGATAGGTGGATAAGGACCACATCTCCTGCGAGATAACACTAAGGGTAACTTCTTCACAAGGAAATTCCCAGCCCTTTTAAAACTCTGTTGCTTCAATTAACTCAGCTGTTAGGTTTAGAAGGACTCACAGTCCGTGAGCTTCTCCAAGCTTCGGATTGTTACCCAGAAAATCTGATGAGAGACATTAAAATTGAGGGCCTCCTGATGTCAGTAGCAGGTTTTGCTAATGACATTAAAAGCAAAGGCAGACAGGCGATGTTTTATCCTCTCCATTCCAAAAAAGGCTAACAAAACTTTTTTTGGAAGAGTTTCATGAGCTAGAAAAGATGCCTAAAAGTCATTTCCAGTTCAGATTCCCATGCAATTGAGAGGGTGCTATTATACACAGAGATTATACTCATAATACCTGCATGTTTTACCTGACTAGTACTTCAACTTTAAAAATTTATTAGAGGAGTGAGTCAAAGCAGATTCAATTTCTTTCAAAACACTAACCATCCTACCACCATCCCCCCCAAAAACCCCAAAACTAGATCAACCACTTAAGCAAAGCCATGAGGTGAATCAAGCTGATTGTCATTTTGACCTTGCTGCGCTTTAATTCAGGAGCCTATTTAGAAATGTAACGAGCAACCCTCTTCATTCGGCTCAGCTAGCAGAGCTAATAGGCTTCTAATTAATTTCCAGAAGATGGCTGTTATAACTAACAGGTTTTAAACATTTGGTTGATTGGGGAAAATGAATTGAATATAATGTATTTGATTTGGAAAATTAGTTTTCATTTTATGTGCTTACCATAATAGTGTTTATTTTAAGTTTACATGATTCCATTAAGAATCCCAGAACACCACCAGGTTGTTTTTGTCCTTACAGAGTCCTATCCAACTTAAAAAAAAAAAATCTATTTACATTTTGATTTTTGTTGGCCTTTATTTGAGGTCAGGTTAAATCCATTTTTGTGGCTTTAATAAAAATCTTCTCTTGTTAATATAGCAACAGGCCCAAATACTTCAAAATGATCCCTGTGATACCTCAGTCAAAAGCCCACTCATCGAATGCAAATCCTCTGGAGAAAGGCTTCTGCACACAAAGTAAGATGAACCAGTTACTGCTTTGTTTATGAAGTTTCACTTGATTCCTCCTGACAACCATTTAAACAATGAATGTTGGGAAATGTCCCTCAAAGAATCAACAACAATGGCAGGGATCAGAGCTTTTATATTTAGCTAATACTATTTTTAAAAGAGAAAATATTTCTTCCTGAAGGGATTATGGAAAGCCTTATTAAAGACACCTGCAAACAAAACAAGTGACAATAGATCTCTATCATAATTGATAACTGAGTTATTCTTTATTACAAAGCTCCTTTCTTGGAAACAATAATAGCGAGATTTACCTTTGCTATTAGATTCAAAAAATCAGCTAATTGGGACTACTGGTATTCAACAATGATAAGGTTCTCCAAGATTAAGCGAGGGGATAATAAAAAGACCCTTGTCTCTCAGGTTAAAGAACAGCAGACTAGAATTGTCTCTCCTCAGGCTGAGGATGTTTTATACTGAAAGCAGGTAGCATCTATCCCTGTCTCTCCATCTGTTATGCAAAAATATGTGAGGGATTCTAATAATGAGAGCTAACTATGTGCTAAGCACAGGCCAGCCAGCTTTAGAAACTCAACCATTGCCTAGCTTGCAGTTGCAATGAAACTGAAACTTTCACAAAATCTTCTCAAACTAATTAACAATCACGTCCAATGTGACACTGCTTTAATAAAAGATTGCTTCTTGGGGATAAATAACATAGCTAAACCCAGCACGACACATATAAAAAACAAGTTTGCAGAAGAGAAAAAAAATCAGACATCTTTGTTTGCGGTAAAAGCACTCTGCCTGAGTCTCAGCTTACCTCACACTAGTAAACACTGGATGCCTTTGCCCATGGGCTATGCTGTTTGCAGTCAGATATTCACTGCTGCATTTCTGTGTGACTAAGAGGAAAGCCTGTAATCATCCCAGGCCTATTACTGATTTTTCGGACATAGCTAATTTTCCAAATTAAGTAATTCTGTCTCCTTTTATAACAGTGGCCCCAGAAGAAATTAGAAAGTGTGTGAGGTGGGGGTTGGGAGGGGGAGCATCAGGATCAACCCATAACTGCACACTCCAACTGTAGCATTTCTACTTCCTGGCTTTAAAATGACTTCGTGATTAGACTGCTGTAAACTGGCACTTATGAAAGTAAAAAAGGTTCATGAAGTATTAGCAACAGCAGCTGCAATTTTAGAACATGTGAAGCTTTTGATTAATGCATTTCATTTCCAAAATAAACACTTGGAAATAAAGAAGTTCCCCAGCCTGAATCACTGAAAAGTAGACAGAATTAAACAACAGAAAAACATCCCACATGAGCAACAATACTGAATGAGGAGATGAGAGATGAGATGACCCAACATTATTCTTTAAAACCTCAAGTTCACAGACAAAACAAATGCTTTATAAAAGGTATTTCTGTGGGATTGTTGGTTTTCCTTTAAAAAGACACCTTAAGACTTAGAGCAATCAACGTGTGAAAGAAAAGCTGCCCAGAAAAACAAAAAAGACATTTTCTGAGATGACTTTGATCCTGTTCTCAAATTATTGGTTTAAATGGACTTGCCTTTAAAGGCTTTGCATCTGCAATAACTGCTCTCTATTGTCCTTGTTAACAAAGTATTATTTTCACCTTATTATTACTAATCTTTTCTTTGTAAGTAACCACACCTGGTTTTATCCACAAAAAAAAAAAACGGTGCAGTAAATATTTTTCCTTTGTGGTAATACAATGCATAATTTAGTTAATCTAGGCTATCTTTCCGTGAGAGGTGATTGTTTCTATATTATGAAATGTGTTCAAGTGAACTCCACGCCAGATACCTGGAAGGCAGATGGAGAACCACTTACCAAGCATGTAGCTGCTTCGAACCAACCTTGACATGACTGTGTAGCCACTCCTACACATGAGGTATTACTCATGTTAACTTAGCCTCCAAATCATCACCACACCTTTCTTTGACAAACATGACCTTTTATTAAGATAACATGACACATCACTAGGCTGAAAGGCCCACCCTTAGTCTCCATGAGAGGGCCCTGGAAAATTGGAAACTTTTGTTTTCTGTTTAAGAATTTGACATTACCTGGATGAAATCTAGAACTGTCAGGGGCAGCAAGTCATCTATATGTCCAATGTCTTTGGAGAAACGATTTAAAATTCTTCCTGCAAGAATAGGATACGAGAAATTATTCATTTCCGCCAGACAGACCCTTTAAGAGACACAATCCACAAACAAATCAAAACAATATTTTAAATGCATATATATTTAATATATTATGCATTCATATGAAGTAAGCCAATGTCAGTGGTAAAGAAAAAGAAAATACATGATACCTAAAGAGAAACAAAATACCACCAAATGGCAGTGGGCGGGGAGCTGAAATTTGGCCCTGATTTCTAAAGGAGGGAAAATAATCTTGTTACAGTTATTGGGAAATGTTGGTGGATTTTAGAAGTTTCTCTCCTTTTAGATCCCATCTAAAACTTCAACCTGAGTGCTAGGTAGGTAAATAAGCAATTGCAAATTACATAAATTAATCCTAATTGTTACGCCAATTTTGCTTCAGTTATCAGAATTAATTTTGCTAAGTAATACTTGTTAAATAAATGTAATTTTAACTTCTATTTTTTCCCCCCAGGATGGTTCACAGCACTTCTCATTTTGGAAAAATTTAGAATCGTCATTTTCAAATTGTGAGTTTACTACCAGAGTAGTAAGTCGTTATTCTCAGAGGTGCACTGGGTACAACAAACACAGACTTACTCCTAAATATCCAAGAAGAGGAATATAGGAAGGAAAACGGAAATATTATTTACTGATTAAAGATCATTTATTACAGATTTTCTCCGTGCCCCACCCCCGCCCCAGAATCCAAGAAAACATTATATCCTAAAGGCTTCAGAATCGAAAGGTCAGAACTAATTTCTAATAAAGATTGTCTTTCAAATGATTTAATTAAAAAAAAAAAATTGAAGCTACACACACACACATGCACACACATACAGAGAGCTTATTTTGGTGTAGGCAACTCCTGAGAAATGTGTTTATCTAGGCCCTAAACTGTAATTGATGCTTTAGGAAACCTAACTGCAAATGAGGTGGATGTGGAGCTTCTCCGTGCTGTTCCCAACATTTGTCAGAGGTGACTTTCTCTGGAGGCCCTTCCTACTAAGCCACAACCAGGCCACAAAGGCTGAGTTTCCACTGCTGGAGAAATGGTCAGAGGCTGAGCTTCCACTGCTGGAGAAATGCTGCCTCTGCAATCCTCCCACATGGCACCTGGGCTCAGCCAGGAAGCGTAGGGTGTGCCTGAGCGAGGAGCTGGGGCAATCCGAGGCTTTCGCGCTTGGCCAGGCCACACTATTACAAGCTGGGCCTCAATTTTCCTTTCTCAGACTTAGAAAACACAGACTCCAGAAACCATCTCTCAGTGACACCTTTGGCAGGCCCTGTAATAACTTTTCTGAGCCTCTAATAATACCTCCTTTAGAGGGTAATTCGAAGGATTAAATGGGCTCATGCATGTGAAAGAACCGAGTCACAATGCCAGACACGCCAGACACGTAAACAGGTGCTCAAAACCAAAATAAAACAAAACAAACAAAAAAAACCCAAGGTGAGATAATTACTATTACCCATGGGTCTGCTGCATGTCACCTGAGAAAGTCTACTGCTGGGCACTGTGCTATCCCATGGTCGACTAGTTACAATGAAGATTCTGATTCAGCAACTTTAGAGTGGAGCTGGAGATCCCGCATTTCTACCAAGCTCTCAGGCGATGCCCTTTCTGCTATTTCTCAGACCAGGTTTTGAGAGACAAGAGGCCTGGTTATTATTCACTCAGTTGTCCTTGAGAAAAATTAACATCAGATGGGCAATTTTTCACATATCCTGATGAATTCTGTGGCCTACCTAGTTACGTTTTACCTTCTCAAAATATCAAGAGCAAAATAAGAAAAATACACGTGAAAAATGTTAAGGATGGTTTAACTGCTTGTTATTTCTTCAACAGAAAAGTACAACATTTTAACATAGGCAGGATTCAGAAGCATTGCAAATATGGTTCAGCTTAAAAAATGTTGAAAACGATCTTCAAATTAAAAACAAAAAAACATGAAAAAAGCTATGCAGAGATAATAATGTGGGAGTCTTAAGGTCTAAGACACCCATGGTTAGGTAACAGTGCTAGGTAGGTAAAATACAAGGAAAACACTACTGAGAAAAACCATCTCCCTGCATAGCTACTACAATCACTGAACTGAATGTCAAAGATAGTAAAAAACATATATATAAAATTTTATTCATCAATAAGCTTAGTGTAGAAAATGTTAGATTAAAAGGTTTAATAGTTAATTGCTTGCTCTAAGAAACAAGAGAATGAATGATATTTGCAGAATATTTCATCTGGTTTTGCAATAGACTGTTGTAATCAGAGTTGTGATTTCAAGTTCACGGCCTCATAGTCAAAGTTTTCTCAATGGTCTCCAAATCAAATCCTTACAATGAATTCCCTTCACAACATGCCATGCCTCTCGACCCAAATGACATTTGGCACCTGCTGGAATATCTCCAGGGATGTAGAAGGAAGGGGGATTCACTGTAAACAGGGGAGACCCAGTCCATTTTCAGGCTGTTCTGCTAGACAAGACTTTCTTACACTAAACCGAATCTTGCCTTCCTTGATCATCCAACCTCTGCTGCTTATTCTGTCCTGATAACCACATGGAGTAAATCTAATTTCTCTTGACACAACAGCCCTTCAAATGCTTGAAGAAAGCTAATCAAATCCTTTCCAGACTTCTCACAATCAACTAGTCCTTGGTGCCCCAATTATCCTTCATAAGGCATGGTGTCCTATCTTGGCCATTGTCTCCAGCCCAGACTTAGATGGCCAGTCTCAGTTAATGCTTTGTGCCCAGGATTAAAACCAATACCTCAGGTATTATTTGATCACCTGGAAGTAAAGTGGTAACACCATCTCTCCATTCTACACAGGATATATCCAATCACGAAGCCAACAGTAAATTCTGGTGATCAGATTTTTTGGACACAAACAAGTCTACAACAAGTCGATAATGTAGTATGCGCAATTTTAATTTTTTCTTTAATGTTCTTATTTTTCTACAACGACTATGCATTACCTTTTTTTTTTTTAAGTAAAGAAAGGGGAGACAGAGAGAACAATTGGGAAGAGAGGGGGAGAGGAGGAATGGGGTGAAGGGAGGTGGAAGGGGGAGGAGGAGTGAGATAGAGGGAGGTACCCCTTGGGGTCCATACTATCAGAGAACCACTCACGGTCATTTTAACTGCTCTGGTTCATACTATTCTATCTTGTCCACAAGACAGAAAATATTATGAAACATGCCACCAAACTTCTTGTCAACATACGAATTCATTACTGACCATATTTTAAGAACTGATACTACAATCTAAGCTGGAGTCGGTCACCCTAGAATTCTGACACCTCTCCCATATCTAGGATTCCTCAGCTTATTTATAATCAAACTGTAATTTAAAACTTAGAAGTCTAGTTTGGGCCCCATTCCTTTTTCTTCAAAAACAAGGGATATATTTACCTATCAAAATATTGAGGTATATTTTACATCTCATAAAATTCACTCATTTCAGGTATACAATTCAATGAATTTTAGTAACTTAACTGAGTGATGCAATCATTACCACAAAATAAATTTTAAGACTTTTTTATCCCTCCACAAGACCCCTATGCCATTTATAGTGACTCCCTATTTCCCACCCCCAGCATCAGTAAATCTATTTATTTTCTCTATAAATCTGCCTTTTCCCACCCCCAGCCTCAGTAAATCTTTTTACTTTCTCTATAAATCTGCCTTTTCAGTACATATCATAAACATGGAATCGTACATTATGAGGGTCTCTGTGTCTGGCTTCTTTCACTTAGCCTAACTTTTTTGAGATTCATCCATGATGTAGAGTATGTCAGTAGTTCCTTCCTTTTGAGCCACATTCTCTAGCATGGAAGTGGTCTTAGGTACCAGCAAAAAAGACCCTATTTCAGGCCATACCACACCCAACCTTAGGGTAAGAGCATATGTGTCTTGTGGACTCTTCGATACTGTGAACTTCTTTATATGTACCCATATTTAGCTTCACTGATGGTTCTAGAACCCAACTCTTTTGGTAAGATTTGGCTGTTGGTTTGATAGCCCTAGAGAATCTGAAGCCAGAAATGCTGGGTCTGAGCTGAGCTCTGAGGCCGGGGAGCGTGCAGGGGAGAGGTGGGGAGAATAAGTAGAAGAACTACTGTTCTAGTGACAGGTGAAATCTAATTCCAAGTAGCCTATCGAAAGGAGGACAAAATCTCTCCAAACGAGCAGAGAATGACCTGTACCTTCCAAGAACGATGCCACATGATGGCACAAAGCTGGTCCAAAGGAGAGGGTGCTTAGTGGAGCCTGGAGATGGCCACTGGGCTGAAAAGGATCACTGTGTGCATGAGAGAGCTGTCGAGGAACTCAAGTAAGCCTGGACTTTCTACATGATTCTACACCAACTAATTTCAATTTAGACCAGAGTAAGAACAGGAGCTAGAGCTGTTAGAGTAGGTCATCTATATGGTGGCTGCTCAAAAAAAAAATGTCATGAAAAAGACAATAGGAATTAGGAAAGCATCACCAGAAAAACCACAAAGTCCTTGTCCTCCTCTGGCACTCAGTAGCAGCAGCCCTTTAGGCAACTCATCCAACCTCCACTGGATGAAAATCTCTTATTTGTAAAACAGAGATGATAATGTTTGTCTCAACTACCTCACAGGATAAAGGATTATGAGGATAAAAGATATCATGCTTATGAAGATACCTTCTAAATTGTAAGGTAGCACACACGTGCAAGGCGTTATTCATATTATCATTATGAGATTTTAGGGCTCTGAAGTTCACTAGGTCTAATAACTTCCTAACTTTGTCTTGTGAAGATTGAGACTTTGCAGAGGTCCCTTGAAGAATGAAGCAGAAGAGGAAATGGAGGCCAAGTTCACCCAGCTCGACACGCCACTTTTCTCCCTTACTGCCCATCCCCTCCCACCAGCCTCCTCATGAACAGAGCCCCTTACATCCATCTGGTCATTCAAATACAGACAGCCTTTGAAGAAAGGGTTCTGCAGCTAACAAACGTTCAAATCCCT